TTGACGGACTGCGCGCCCAGCACCTGCCCCAGCCTGCGCGGACCGGAAGTGGGTGGCGGATGCTGTCAGGCAGGTGCCCTATAGAAAGGGCCCGTGTGTGTTTCCTCTCTAGGACGTCTGGAGGTCTCTGAAGGAGTTGTATCTCTATGGTGGCTCATGGTCAGTGCCGGCTCCCCTCCCCTCCTGCCTCTATATGCGCCTCCAAACATTTTTTTTTTTAAAATCAATTTCTACAAAAAAGGAGCTTCTCTGCATTAGGCTAAGAGATGCGTTAGTCTATGGATATAAACATGAATATCTTAATATTCTATATGCATTTATTTAGTGTGTGTCGGGACAGCCTGAGGAGTCAGTTCTCACCTTCCACCATGCAGGTCCCAGGGATAGAACTCAGACTATCGGGCTTGGGGGCAAGCACCTTGACCCACTGAGTCACCTCAGTGGCCCCGAACATAAATATTTAGAAGGCAATTTGACAATATGTTCCTTAAGGAAATGTGATGGTTATTTCTAACTGTAACTCTGACAATCTAGGATTACCTAGTGAAAGACTTAAAAATTAGCAAAGAAATATAGCCCAGATAAGGAAACTCTCCAAACTGAATGTAGGGCAGCCTAACCCAGAAACTAAGGCCACTACTATGACTTAGGGCCTGTTATTTACCAGCTTACAAGGCCATAAGATAACTGGGTACCAAGAATTCCCAGATGGCCACTCACCCCAGGGGCTCATAGAGGAAACAGATTGCCCCACTGGCCAATGTGTCAATAATTAACAATTAAGGGTCCCTATGAAACAAAGAGATAGCTACCATTTGTCAAGCAAGATAAGCATATCCTGAGGTCTGCAGGTTTTATAACTGGTGGGTCAGGAGGCCATCTGATTCCCAGCCCTTTCCTCAAGACAAAGGGCCTCCTAGGAACCCATGACTCTGGTCACGCCCCTCCCTAAGCTTGTGGTTTTTGCCTTTAAAAAACGCCTGTGCCTGGGGGACGGGGCTGCTCTCTAGCCTGCATGCTGAGAGAGTCCATTTGTACAAACGTCCACCTTTCATTAAAGCCTCTTGCTGTTTGCATCGAGTTTCTGCCTCCTCATGGTGAGTGGGGTGGCCGCAGTCCTGGGAAAAGATTCTGGAGGCCTGAGCTTCTGGGGGTCTTACACTAGGAAGAGTCTCAGTGAGGGGTCAGACAATTCCTCCCGTTGGCCTGTGGGAATGACCTGCGGGAAGACTCAGCCTACTGTGGGTGGCACCATTCCCTGGGTTGGGGTTTTGGACTGTGAAAGAATGAGAAAGGGAGCTGAGTGGTGAGCATGCATACATTAACTCATTTCTCCCTGCTCTTGTCTGTGCATGTAATGTGAGCAGCTACTTCAAGTTCCTGCTGCCTCGACTTTCCTATAATGAATACTGCAACCTGGAATTGTGAACTAAAATAAATACAATCCCCTCAAAGCTGTCCTTGCTTGACAAGGTCTCTCTTTGTAGCCCTGGCTGTTCAGGAACTTGCTATGTAGAACAGACTGGCCTCAAACTCACAGAGACCTGCCTGCCTCTGTTTCTCTGTGTTGGGATTAAATACTACCTTGTCTGGCTAATGACTGTATGTTTCATTTTTTTTTTTTGAGACAGGGTTTCTCTGTGTAACAGCCCTGGCTGTCCTGGAACTCTGTGGACCAGGCTGGCCTCAGACCCATAGAGATCCACCAGCCTCTACCTCCCAAGTGCTGGGATTTAAGGCATGCACCACCACCACGTGACTTAATGTTTTAAAAGAATTAATATAACAGAATTACTTTAAAAGACATGTATACTCTGGGAAAACAGAGATACATTTTGTGATAAGAGGGCTGTTTTAGAGCAAGTGACACTTCAGTTGGGATTAGACACAAGGGATTTTCCCTTTCAGGAAAAGACAGAGAAGGGTATTGGAACCAGATGTGGTGGTACACATCTTTAATATTTGCGATCAGGAGGCAGAGGCAGGCAGATCTCTGTGATCTCAGTTCAAGGCCAACCTGGTCTACATCGTTTCAGGCCAGCCAGAACTACATAGTGAGACCTTGTCTCAAAAAATTAAGTAAATAAGTAAAGAAGATATAAATAATAAAATGAAAAGAGACCAGTGCTTAGAAAGGCATCAATATGTGAAGGAGATGGTATGTTAGAAGATTGCTGATGTACTTTATGTGCCCCAAACTCATCAATGGAGGAGAGAAGCCTGAGCATGTTGGTGTGCGCTTGTAATCTCAATAAGCTCAGGCTGCCCTGAGCTATATAGTGAAATCAGATCCAGCCTGGGCTACAAAGTGGGTTTAAGGCCAGTTTGGGTTACATAGAATGAGGAGAGGAGGAGAGATAAGTGAGAGAGAGAGAGAGAGAGAGAGAGAGAGAGAGAGAGAGAGAGAGACAGAGACAGAGAGAGAGAGAGACTGACTGCAGGGCACAGGCTTCCAGTGTCACAGCTGAATCAAAGCTCAGTCTTGGAGAAGGTTCCCCTGTAGCCATACTCAACCCTTCCCCCAAACCCATAAGAAATGTTTCTGGTACCAAGTCACCCTTTCACCCAGGAATGTTAATTTTGGGGTTTTGTTTTGTTTGTTGGTTTGGTTTGTTTTTTGTGAGACAGGGTTTTTCTGCATGGCTCTGGCTCTCCTGGTACTGGATTTGTAGACAAGGCTGGCTTTGAACTCAGAGGTCTGCCTGCCTCTGCCTTCCAAGTGCTGGAATCAAAGGAATGTGCCACCACCACCCAGCTTGGAACATAACTCTTTAATGACACTAATTCAAACAACTATTGTGATTCCATTCTTTTTGAAAATTCTGATTCCTTTGATTATGTAATACAGTCTCTCCTGCTGGCCCCCGGGTTTGGATTTTGAAGAACAGTTCAATAGAGTAGCTCTCCTTTTTTTGTTTTTTGTTTGAAACACCTGCAAAGATAATAAAAGAACAAAAGATAAAAAGAAAGACCTTGAGCAGCCAGTAGTTCAAAGGGCTCTGATCTTATTCCAGGTGCAATTAAGGCACAACCACTGCCAGAATGCAGGAGTAGAGGGTTAGCTCAACTTTCTGAAGCCCCTCCAAGGCAGCAAAGACTGTTAAGGTGGGGTATGCTTAGGCACTCACATAGACTGGGACAGAGCTCAGGTCTCCTATGTGGATGACTGTTTCTTCCTTGAGTACTGTCTCTTGCACCAAGCTCAGTTCTCTGCCAAGACTGTCCAGCTTCTCTAGGTAGAGGACGCCTCTGCACCTCCTCAGTACTCTTGGGAGTGGTCAAGAAATGGAAATGAAAGCAGACTGTGTCTTCAAAGAGGCAGATGCTACTCAGGTTACAGCAAAATCTTGGGTCAGATGAGATAGGAAGAAAGTGCTGGTTTCTGTGCCTCCCTGAGAAGGAACTTCTCCTTCTTGTGCAAGCCCTTGAATCTTTGGAACCACCCTCCATGCTGTCCCCTACAGCAGAGAATATATTAAAGCTAAGGTAAGAGGCTGGAGAGATGGCTCAAATGTTAAGAATGCTTGCTATTCTTTCAGAGGACATGGATTTAGTTCCAATCACCTATGTATGATGTCTTCCAACCACCTTTAACTCCAGACCCAGGGAATCTGGTGCCATCCTCTGGACTCTTCAAGAATCTATGTATGTATGTGTACATTGACAAAGGGAATGAGGGGGAGAAGAAAAGAGAGGGAGAAGGGAAAAGAGAGAGAGAGAGAGAGAGAGAGAGAGAGAGAGAGAGAGACTGATTGAGACTCATACATATATACAAAATATTTTTTAAAAATGTGTTCATTTTCATGCCTGGTACTCATGCTTGATTCTCTGGAATTAGAGTGGCAGATGGCTGTGAGCTGCCAAGTGGGGAGCTGGGAATTGAACTTGGGTACTCTGGAAGAGCAGCTAGTGCTCTTAACCACTGAATCATCTCTCAAATCCCATAACAAAAATCTTTAAAGTTGAGGTAAATGATAACTTCTTTTCCAGTATTATAGAAGACCACTGTAAACACCAAAACTTCGTGGCCAGGAATGATTCAACATGCCAAGCACTTGTTACCAAAGCTTGAGGATTGGATCTCCAGTTTGGATCTCCAGCACCCATGTGAGACAGGCAAACAGGAGGCAAACAGGACACCCACAGTCCCAGCAAACAGGAGACAGAGACAGGATCTCTGAAAGCAAGCTGGCTAGTTAGACTCATCAAAGCAGCAAGCTCTGGCTTCAAATGACAGACCCTACCTTAATATTTAAGGTGGGAAGAAATCAAGGAAGACATTTGTCATCAACCTTTGGCCTCCACACACACATACCTGTAAATGCACACACAACACACACACACACACACACACACACACACACACACACACCAGCAAAAATTCAAAAGAGATGGACTACAGTCCAGGATACTTACCAGTCACTAGGAACAGAACACCAAAGCACCATATATAGTGAGGCCACTGCATAGAGAATTGCATGGGGCTGGACTTTATCCTCAGACTCTGGATTTCAGGGGAATGAAGTAACAAGTTCATGAAGGTACAGATCCCTGTGAGGACCTAGGGAAGCGCCCGCTCTCCTCCCAGCTTCTGGCTTACCTTAGCCCATGTGACTCCTTAACTCCTTCTTTATCCCTTGCCCATCCAGAACAATAACCCTACCACATGCCTCTCTCTTTCTCTCCAACTCACCCAAAAGCTGTGTGCCTCACCTCCCAGGGACTCATCAGAAATTGCTGTGGAAGTATTCTCTATGTGGGTCCCAACATCATGATGGGTCCTCTGTGTGGGTACCACTTCAGGGTGTGCCCTCTGTGTGTGAACTTGAGAGAAAAATCAACCTGATTTTCCTACTGTATGGGTTCTGTATAGTGGGAAATTACCAATACGGAGTCAGGTAGAAATATAAGGGTATTTAATAGGGTATTTAAAAGCCTTACTTATAGAGCAACCTAGCCAGCCGGCGTGGCAGCAGTCTGTCCAGCAAGTACCAAAGTGAAGCCGAAAGCAAATGCAGTCACACTACGTCACCCTGACCACACCCTCGAAATTGTGGTCAGGCACACCTGTAGCCAGCCCCTAAGTAGGCGTGGCTACAGCTTCCCCTACAATTCCCCTTTTAGTCTAAAAGAGGATTAAAACTTAACAGTGTAAAGTATCCAAAATTAACAACCATAAAGGTAAAATATAAGAAGATACAACAATCTGCTTATGTCACATCCTAACTATCTATTTTAACTAAACCCTAAAGTCATCTGAAAGAGGTGTCCAAGCCTGAACACCTCCTTCCAATCCCA